AGCTTAAATTATGATTTTAATTTAAATCCTGTCCGTTTCAAACATCTTCTTTTCTTGCTCCGTCTTATTTTCTCTCTATCATATAGTAAAAAATGTCCGTTAATTTTTTCACAAAAATTCATAATTTTTTTTTTTGAAGAGTATTATTTTAGGTATATATTATATCAATGCATCATGCTAACCTCATCAATTCTTGGCCCTGGGACAATCTTCCTGATGGTTGTTGGTGCCTTATCAATATCATTTAACATTGATACTTCTTTATCATTGTTTATTGTCACCTTACCGGTTGCAACATTTTGCTTTATGTGTTTCATTAGTGATACAGAAAAACAGGTGCAATTATTGAATTTTTGTAATCTATTCATTCAATTAACTTTTATCCAAATTAATTTATGCTATCGTTGACATTTCTTATGTCAAAAAGAAACCAACATTCTATTGCTGATTTTTCAAATTTGAAATCGAAAAAATCAGAAAGGTCAGAATGTTATTTGTTGATAACCTATTTTAACAATTTTCATAGCACTAAATTTATTTAAATAAATTTAGATAAATTTACAAATAAATTTCTAAATAAATTTACTAACAAATAGAACCGAAACTTTTGGCTTAGAATTGTCTTCTGCTTTTTCATTTTTTTTGAATTTGACGAAATAAAAAGTCACGAATAGATTTTCCCACTTGTATCAAATATTTTGTGTAATTATATTTAATTAATTCAACAATTCAGTTTGTATATCTATGTATTTATTACATGTTAAATTGATTATATTTTTTGCAGTTAATAGCAGCGCAAATTATCGGTGCGCTATTTGCTATGTTAATGACAGCTGTAATTGTTGGAACAGTGATACAAATGCAAAAAGATGGAATTATGTCACCACATTCCATATTCTTACTTTTTGTTATTGGAAGGTTTTCTTTTCTCATTTTATCGAGTTTCAAATTTCTTCCAAATTCTGCTCAAAATTTATATTAAATTTTGGGAAAATCATAAGAAAATCATGATATAAAAATATCATTTTTCTTTAGTTTCATCATCGCTGCTGTGTTACATCCACTGGAATTTACCTGTTTAACGCCGGGAATTCTATATTTCTTGGCAATACCATGCATGTATATGTTACTTCCAATCTATAGCTTATGCAATTTGAATAATGTTGCATGGGGAACACGAGAAAATCCAAAAGGTTAAAATTTTAAATCTAAATTCCAAATATAAAATCACAATTTCTCAAAAGATTGTTTCTCGTCCACGAATTATGCAAAATGAATAAAAACTAGAACTAATTTGATGATTATTCAATTCTCATACAAATAACTGAAAAGATAAGTTTTGAAAAAAAAAATCAATTATCTATCGTAAAAATAGGAAATGAATTGAATCGCTGATTTCAGTGGAAGAAAAAGATCCTGTAAGGCAAAAATTCAGCAAGCACATTGATCTAATTAGTAATAATGCTAATGAGGTAAATTTCGTTTTTTTTTTTACTAATGTCGGAAATTTTTGTAAATCAAGAAAAGAATGGCCGATTTTAGGCCAGTAATAATGCTATTTTCGTGTGCATAATAATATGAATTTTGAAAATTTCAACAAATTCAATGATATAAATTTTTTCAAATTTGAAAATTTTTATCCTAAGCTAATTTTTAGTATGCAATTACGGATAAAGTTTGAAGAAAATCAATCAGCACATATATAACAGTTTAAGCTCTCATGATGTTTGAGTTTTATTGTTAATTGATTGCTACTTATTCATTTTTTGTTATCATCATTATTGCTATTATAATCATTTGTAATAACAAT